TGTTTCAAGTCCTGAACACAAGTGTTTTGTCCAGACACTGAATTCACACATGCTCATATTATTATGTGAATCTGTGTTGGTTAATTTGCTATTCTTTAAAACATGTTAGTTATGGTCCCGTGGCTCTATTGGTGGGCCGTAGCTGAATTTTTTAGACTGCAATTTTCACATACCTTGACACTAGTCTATTTAGCATACTGGGCAGGGGCGAATCTAGCATTGGGGCAGTGGAGGTACCTGACCCCTTTAAAATTTTGAAATGTTAGTGGGTTTAATTGAAATTTTAAAATAATTTAAGATTTGCCCCCACTAAAAAAATTAGGAAACAATTAGGGATAGTTTTTATTTTTCATTGAAGATGATAATTAGTCATCACTCACTATATATTTGTGATTCGGTATGTGGCAGATTTTAATGATTATTGTTCACGATAAATGTTATATGAAATATCTCAATTTATTTTTTAAATTTGTTATGGTTACTATGAATTTCATTTGAAATTAATTTTTAAAATTTAAAATTTTAAATTTGCTTGTGATGTATTAAAATTGTTTTGATTGATTACTTGTTAGTTAAGTTTGTCTATTTTGTGATGAAATGAAATTTTTTCAAATTTTTGGAGTAAATTTTTTTCTAATTAATTGGATTCATGTATTAAGAATTAGCTATTATGGATTACATTTTGGATTAAATTATTTCAATTAATTGGACTTTAGTAATTTTCTTTTATATAAAAATATCTTGTAAAAGAATTTTACTTGGAATAGCATTGAGTGAAGGAGGTTGGATATATATTATCACTCAATGAATTGGTGTTGATGGTAAATATTTATATCTAATATAAAGATAATTCATTTTTTGGTGGTGAATTAATTCATTTTGTCTTGTTTGATACTATGCTATAGGGATTTGAGTATGGATAGAAGTTGGATGCAGGAAAATCGTAGATTTTCTTATGCTTACAAAAATGGAGTTAAATCATTTATTGAGTATGAACGTGATCATATGAGTCAGGCTAATAATATTTGATGTCCGTGTCACAAATGCGTGAACGTGTATTTTAGAGGTGTAAAAGATATTGAAGATCATCTATTTGAAAATGGGATATTACAAAGTTACACCCGGTGGGTACATCATGGGAAAGCTTTTGATTATAACATGTATGTGGGTGTTGATGACAATAATAACAATGATGACGATGGTGTTGATGATGACAGAACTATAGAGGTGGAAGAAGATGTTGATGAAATATACAAGAAATTCTAGAAGATGTACACAGGAAAACTTTTATAAATACTTGTTCAGGTCAGACATTTGACAACCATGGTGTTGATAATGTAACTAAAGGGGAAGCCAAAAATTTGACAGATTATTGAAGGAAACACAATTGGAACTTTATCCAGGCTGCAAGAAGTTTTCAAGATTGTCTTTTCTCGTGAAATTGCTTCATCTCAAGGTAATCAATCATTGGAGTAACAAATCACTGAGCATGATGCTTGAGTACTTGAAAGAGTTTTTGCCAGATGGTGAGACACTTCCAAAGTCACATTATGAGGCCAAAAAAATTTACGAGACTTGGGACTTGGACATGTGTCAATTCATGCATGTCAATATGATTGTGCACTATTTTGGAAGGAGCATAAAGATAAAAAAGATTGTCCCATATGCGGTGCATCTAGATGGAAAGTTGACGATGGCAAGGGAAAACGAATTTCGCACAAGATTTTGGTTACTTTCCACTGAAATCGAGGCTACAAAGATTGTTTGTATCGAAAAAAGTTGCTATCGATAAAGCCTGGAAGGAATTTGACAAGGAGCACGAGTGGTTTGCACAAGATCCTCACAATGTAAGGCTTGGATTAGCAACTGATGGTTTCAATCCGTTTGGTAACATGAGTAACTCATACAGCATGTGGCAAGTAGTTCTTATGCCGTATAACTTGCCTCCTTGGAAATGTATGAAAGAGCAATATTTCATGATGTCTTTACTTATTCCTGGACCTCAAGCACCTGGTAATGACATCGATGCATATATGTGACCGTTAATAGATGAACTAAAAGAGTTATGGGAAGATGGGGTACAGACTTACGATGTTTCTATTGGACAAAGTTTTCAAATGCATACAACAGTCTTATGGACAATCAATGGCTTTCCCGCATATGGTAACTTATCTGGATGGAGCACCAAAGGATAAATGGCATGTTCTACTTGCAACAAGGAGAAATATTTGCAACCATTAAAATAAGATTTCTTTTATGGGCCATCGACGATACCTTCCACCCAAACATAGTTGGAGGAAAAATAACAAATTTGATGGTAAGCAGGACCATCAATTGACACCTAAGAAATTGTCTAGGGATGATGTGCTTGAACTGTTAAATCACATCAAAGATGTTAGCTATGGGAAGCACCCAAATAATAAGAAAAGAAATCGAACCCCAAAAGAGTTGAATTGGAGAAAAAGGAGCGTATTTTTTGAATTTTCGTATTAGAAAACACTTCAGCTCCGACACAATCTCGATGTGATGCACATAAAGAAAAACATATGTGAGAGTGTGTTGGGAACCTTGTTAAATATTGTTGGAAAACAAAAGACACTTATAAGGCGAGACAAGATTTGGAAGATATGAATATAAGGAAGGAAATAAACCTACAGCGTAATGGCGATTCTTATGTAATGCCACCTGCATGCTACACATTATCCCATAAAGAAATGCAGGGATTTTGTGAATTCTTGAAATCGATGAAGTTTCCAAATGGGTATGCATCGAACATCTCGCGGTGTGTGAACGTAAGGGATTTAAAGATATCGGGAATGAAAAGTCACGATTGTCATGTTCTTTTACAACAATTACTCCCAATTGGAATACATGGATACTTGAATAAGGATGTTTCTACTGCGTTGGTTGAGTTGGGATTCTTTTTCAAAGAGCTGCGCAGTAAGACATTGAAACTAAAAGTCCTAGAGAATCTAGAAAAGGACATTGCCTTAATATTGTGCAAACTTGAAAGGATATTTCCTCCAACATTTTTTGATGTCATGGTCCACCTAGCGGTTCATTTGCCATATGAAGCCATGCTTGCAGGACCTGTGCAATACCGTTGGATGTATCCAATTGAAAGGTGATATATACTTGTTAATGTACGTATAAAGTTTGAATTTTTTTCATTATCTCTTCATCGTCTAAATTAGTCTTTTGTCAAATGTCCATAGATACTTGGGCACAGTTGAGCGATATGTATGCAATAAAGCCAGTCCAAAAGGTTCAATTGCTCTGACTTACATTGCTAATGAATGCTTAACATTTTGCTCAATATATCTTACTAGAATTGAAACAAAATTCAATCTTGAGAAACACAATTATGACGGAGGCCAGGAGCTAAGAGATGGAGGGTTGTCTGTGTTCTCACAGAAGGTTTGTCCTTTTGGATGTCCATCATATGATAATTTAGTTGAGATGGATCTTAGAAGGGCTCGATGGTACGCCCTAAACAATTGCGAAGAATTGGCCCAATATCTTCAGTAAGTTAATATTTTGTTTCTGTTATTGTATGTTTAGTTATTGTGCATATAAGTGTACTATGTGCTAAACAAGTGTAATTTTGACATTTAGAGAACATATAGGTGTACTATGTGTTAAACAAGTGTAATTTTGACATTTAGAGAACATATGGATGAGCTTAAGAGAGAAAATGACAAGGATTTAGACTAGAGACAACAAGAACAATTCCCTCAGTGGTTTGAAAGACGTGTACGAGCTTTCATACAAGTGTCATAAACATATATATATATATATATATATATATTAATTATCGTATATTTATTTACTTGTTTCATTGTATTTATGAAATGATTGCGCACTTTTAAATCTGCAGAAGCTACTGATCAATTGTATGCATTAGCGTGTGGTCCAGATTTACAAGCAACTAGGTATAAAAGTTGCATTGTTAATGGTATTAGGTACCACACCAATGACCATGACAGCCATCATAAGAGTCAAAATAGCAGTTTAACCGTAAAAGGAGAACATGACAATAAGCTAATTGATTTTTATGGGGTCATTACTGATGTTATTGAGTTACAGTACATCAAGGGTAACCGAGTTGTTTTGTTTAAATGTGATTGGTTTGATCTTGACAATAAAATAGCAAGGATTCAAAAGGATACTCACTTCACAAGTGTTGATGTCAGCCGTAAATGGTACGAAAATGATTCCTTTGTCCTAGTGACCCAAGCGCAAAATTAGGCAAAAATTGGCAAGTAGTACAGAAGGTGCAACATAGGAGCATGTTTGATGTTCCAGATGTGGAAGCTATGCCAATAGATGACGACGAAGGGGTGATCAATAATGATGAAGCATATCAGTAGAATGAGTCCTGCATTGTTGATGGGATTGTCCAAATAGAAGTACATGAATTGGGGTCATTGCATAGAGATGACGTTGATTCAAATCGTATTAACACAAGTGATGTGGATAACCAAGGAGTGGATGATACAAATAGTGAAGAAAGTGATGGACAAGATGACACACTAGACGATTATTGTACTAATGAAGAAGAGAATATGTGTGCCGATGGTGATGGTGATGATGATGATAATTTTTAACTTCAAAAATATAAGGAAATCATTTAATATAGTTTCTACAAACTTAAGTGTATAGTTTTCATTTAAATGCCTGCAACCGAAACATGGACATCAAATACACTATATCATGTATATACCATAATATCTCTCAAAGACAAATTTCCTCGTACCGTCGAGGTTTTACCAAAAAAAAATACCTTTTACATGTGTTTATGTGGTCAACTTCGGTTTATTCGTGTTCAACACTAATTTAATCTATTTATTGTTCGTGTTAGTAGATCGTGTCTTTTTCCAAAGTTGTGTAAAGAATTAGTCAACCATAACCCATTAATTATGTGTCTTAAGTTGATTCTGCAGCATGGTTTGGCAAAGTAGCAGATTCTAATTGAATCTGATTCTCAAACACTAGTGCAGATGGTATTGGGTCAGGCAGAGGTTCAATGGAGATTGCAGACTGTTTTGGAGAAGATCGGGTGTTTGTTTGGCACTTTGCAGGTGCAAATTAAACACATTTACAAAGAAACTAATGGGATTTCTGATTTTTTAGCATCCTTTGTTGTTCAGACTGAGAGGAATATAGACTTTTCAGTCAGTGGTGTTCTGCCACTTGCTGGGAGGTTGCTTTTGCAGAAGGACCAAAGCTTGCTGCCTACAGCAATAATGAAGAAGGTTGTTAATAGAAGTTCATTACCTCTTTAATGATATGTTCTTGTGCAAGCAGATTTTGTTGTAAGCAGGTTCTGCTTTGCTGCAGAATCTGATGTGTTGCAGTTCTGCTATATTGTTGAGATGGGTTTGATGATAGCTGCTGCGATGCTGATGCTTGGTTGCTATTGTGGATTGGAGATGTTTGCTGCCAGGTTGCAATGATGGTATTTTGTGCATTTTGTAGGCTTCAAGACTTGTAAATGGAATTTTGGGTTGGATTGTAAATTTCTTGAAATTCTTTGCTTCTTGTAATTTTTGATTCATTCTATAAAATTTATTCTTTCTTAAAAAAAAACCAACAGCGGCTGCCTGCTGCAGTAAGCCAACAACTGGTTCAAGACCAGAAGGGCTTGCTTGTTCTGTGCACTAAGAGCAGGTTGGTTTTTGATGACCATGGTTGATTTGGAATTGGTTTATGCTTCTATGCTGGTGATGATTGGTTTATGCAAGTTGCTAGGATATAAGAAGTTGAACTCTAGGAGAAAAGTGGCTGTTGTGAAGGAGTTAGGCTATTGCTGATGTGTTGAGCCTCTTATTAGCCGGGAGTATTTTGGGGGAGTAATGCTGATGATCTGAGATGATTTTGAAGGATTAAAACCATTATTGGCTTTTTTGTTGTTGGTTATTCATTGTAACAGATTTTCTGTTACTCTTGCAAACAGAAAATCTATTTTTCTTGTAACAGAATTTCTGTTGGCTTGTAACAGTTTTCTGTTTTTGTTTGTAAACACTTTTTTTGGTTTTTTTTTATTCTTGTAATATTTGAGAATCATTAAATAAAATTGCTTGGTTTTTTTTTTAAAAAAGAAATCAGTTGACCCAAACAAACAAGTGACTAGCCACTAATGAATTCAACATAAAAAATATTGAAATTGTATAAGAAGTAAATTGAACTTCAAAGCGAATCAAATTTATATAACCACTGTCTCCATCTCTCTATTTTTATTCTAAATTGAAATACAATAGTTTAATTCATGGGTTCTCAGTTGTTCATAACCTAATTCCTCGTATGTTTGATTAATTAGCTCATGCCAGCTCAATATAGCAGCTGCTCATGGCTCACTTTGTATCCTTTCAGCTGCTGCTCTCAGCTCAGTCAGCTCATCTTAATCTATTGCTCTTGCAGCTTATACATACAGCTCTTGATTCATCTCATAACGGTTGTCTGCTGCCCCTGCTGTATCCCTCAGCTAGATGCAGGGGCGGAGCCAGCATTTCACATTAGAGGGGACAAACTATGATCCAAAAAATTTTCAGCTCATTCATCGGTTTACCAAAAGCACCATTAAATTTTTATCTTAAACAAAATATAAATAAAAAATCATAAGATAACTTGTGTTTAGCACATTTCAACTCAATCACATACTAAAATAGAAGACGATGTTATTTCAAATCTTAAAATTTGTACATAATGAATTGATGATAAACTAAATTTTTAGTAATTTTCTTCAATGCACAAAACCACATTATCCGTGATAAAATTATTATTCATTTTATGTTGAGAAATCTAGTTGAAATCATCATTTATTTTGTTCGTGTACTCGATCAATAAACTAAAACATTGATTTTTTTTGGAGGAGGTAATGGGTCACTAACCTATCAAAAATTGAAAAAAAAAACTAGGACTATTGTAAACATTTCCAAAAATTAAAGGGGGAAAATGTATTAAAATAACCAAAACTATCATCCTTAACAAAATGATTCAAAAAATCAGGTGGGCCAATTTCCACGTGTTCTAAATCACGTGACAAAGGCTCACATGGAAAAGGAAGGATGTATTTGGGAAACTTGTCAACCGAACTAATGTCACAGTCAACCTATATATAGCAAGCCTAACCCGAGAAATTAGATGTGGTACTAAATAGATAAGTAAGTTGCCTAAGACAAAGGTAAGCATTATATATGTGATTTAGAACGTCAAAGGAAGTTGGAAGATATTTTAGTACCAATCAAGAAGAATCTGATTAAAAAATAGGTGTGCCACCTAATATAACCAATAACGAAAATTCTAATATATAAAGATGTCATTCGACACTATAAGTACCGAATAATACATAGGTCAAAGGTACACACTTTTTTTCCTACTAATTTGTCTATTTTCTCTCAAAGCCCTTATTTATGCCTCCCACCTACTCATTCCGATCTCCGACAATTTGCAAGTTTTACAGGAGAAATAGTGCATTTTTGCTCATCTTATCATTCGATTTCGATCAATAAAACTTAGTTTTTTATATCCTAAGTCACATTGTGTGCTCAAATTCACGATTTATGACTGTAAAAAAATAATAAATTTGTATAATAAAATAAAATTAAATATAACGTGTTTAAGGTTGGATAAGACTGACCCGATTGTGGCCCACTAAAGACCCATCATGGCCGGCATGTTGGAAGAAGAGATCTTGTATTCCACAAACTCTCCTCCTTGCACTACTGGCAGAAGTTTTTTGATGAAGGCAAGAACCTGAAATCATGTAAATGCCTTGCTGATTGTAGGTTAGTAAGAACTAGTCAAAGCTAGCTACTTTCATGTAGACTCTCAATACCATCATAAAACTTATTTGAATTTAGTACTTGTCAATTTTTTTTTTCTTTTCTTTTTCCAAATTGTTAATATCTTTACAAAGAAGAACAACCATTGCAGAGTTAAAAAAATTCCGACAGTGATCATTAATTGCAATTTCAAAACTTACAAACTACTTGAGCAAAAATAACAAATATTTCGACAAATTGATCAACAAAGCTATATAACACGGGAAACAAATAGAGAAAAAAAGTAGTGATACATGTATATCTAAAAAATTCATAGAGGTGGATTTTGAAGAACTTAGTTGATATACTTTTCAGTTCTTGGTGGAGATATTATGTAAAGATGAGACAAGAAAGAAGAAGATGATGAAGATGAAGAAGTGGAAGTAGAAGCAACTCATGATAGAAAAAAGCAAGAAAGAATCCTTATTTATAGGCAGCTGATTTTTTCTTTTTTTTTTTTTCACATTCTTCTTTTTGTTTTTCTATAGTTATTTAATGTAGAGATATGTGTTTTCAAGTAGGACTGTCAACTCTAACCCGTTATTATGAATCCTAAACGAATTTGATACGAATGATCATAAAATTTGTACGATTATTAAATACGTATAATAAATAATCTAAACTAATATTTAATATTCTAAACGCACTAATTAGATTTTTTTTTTGTGACTCTAGACACGAACATTACACGAACAATAATGACAGGACATAAATAACACAATATACAGGTCACACGAACGCGACACGTATTGACACCTCTATTTTCAAGCACTTACTTGATAAGCTCTACAGTTTTTCATCGAAGATGTGGTCCTCTATACTGAGATAAGAAAAGAAACTGATTCTCGTGATATACATTGGGAAATAATCCTTACTTAGAGTTGGCTACAGTACGGCCAAACACTTTTTAGGTTACCTACCGAATTTGTAATAATTTTTATTACATTTATGAGTATTTTTACTATTATTATACTACCAAATGTGATAGCTTGTTCATTACAAAGGCTCGAGTATCAAAATGATTATTTTCTTGTACCAAAAGTCACTACAAAATAAAAATAAAGATAAGTACACAATAAACTGGGATCACATGAGTGGTTTAAAATGATCGAGAAATTTTGGCCACACTTTTAATAAGATAAGGCTCTCAAATAGGACCCCCTAAGCATTTATAACTATTAATTTTGGGTAAAAATCAGTTGACATCATCGTCACGTAGCCATTATAATTCTTAACGCTAATACTATTGCGAGTCGGGACATAATTGGCAGATATAATTTAAAGACACAATAAATTATGACTAATAACTTAATAGTGGAGTACATTTAATGATACGACTCATTACAATATTAAATATATTTCACTACCAATGTGTTGATCAGAATGTATTATGTCTCTAAATTATATAGCAATTAAATTAATTTAGCCACTTTTATTTTAAATTTCTCACGTCATTCACGTCACTTGCCACTGATGATGTAATATTAATTATCGATACAATAATTTGGAGCTTACAAAGGATAGAGTCATAGATGAATATTTTTCTTGATTTTTGACTTGCACATGTACAATAGGCAGTTGCATATTATTATTACAGACCACTAACATGCGCATTTACTGTCAAAAAATTGACAATCGTTATATATTAGAGTGATATGAAATAAAATTAATGTTTTAAGGTACAATGTAAAAAAATTTATAGTTAAGAGTGCAATGTAAAATAAAGATAATAGTTTAAGGGTGTAAAGTATAATTTATCCTCTAAAAATCTATACTTCTTAAGAGGGGGTCTCCCACTTGGGGGCTATTTGATAAGGGGTATAAAAGGGTTTGAAAAAATGGGTTTGAAAAAAGTTGTCTAAAGGACCGCCAAAATTTATCTTTGGATTGAAAATTTAATTCCGGATTTCTAAACTCGAACCGTAACTAATTTGAATATTAAACTTATAATCATGAGTTTCGTCAAACCTAAGGGAGCAGTGGATTTGGGAAGATGTGTTAAGAGGTTAAGGATACAAAAGATAATTGTACCTTTTAACATGAGTATAAATTAGATTAATTAAGGGTACAATAACTATTTATAAAATAAATAGTTGTTAATAATTATGATATATCCGTGGGTTATACATGTGTATGTGTTGTATACTAAACATGAGTATAGATCAGATTTAATATTAAATCTCATCTTGTAAAGAGGAATTTGAGTTCGAAGGGAACTGGAGAAGTCAATTCAGACTCTCCCTAATAATTCATCCAAACAAGCCCTTGGTGCATATCTCTGGTGGCATTGGTCACCTGTTCGGGGACTAGAACGATGGTTTATCATGTCCAAACATGATTGTAAGGACGACTAACCAAAAAAGGGTAAAAGGAGTTCTGTTAAGAAGGACAATTTGCTTACTGAAAAAAAGGGGGCATTTCAAAAGCTTCCAGTATCTACTTATACAAACATTTGGGACAGTTTTATCAATCCATAAATCATATTTAGTCCAAAAAAAAAAAAATCACAAAAAAAGAGGGATGGAAAAAAACCATAAGAGATTTGAGAATTGAATAGAAATAGGAAAGATAAAAAAAAAAAATATATGTATATATATATATATATATATATATATATATATATATAGTTCATG